TATCTCTCATATACTGGGCCGTCCTGCTCAGTTCTTCTGTCAGCCCGTACAGCTTCTTCTGTAGTGTCAATGGGGTTGGCCGTGTTCCCTATCTCAGGGCCCTGGAGGATACATTCTACAGTTTGGTCCACCACTTCATACTGGTATTTCGGTGAGTGTACTGCTTTAAAACATCTGTACATGTGTTGTTTGAGTCTTGTGTATTGTGGTTCTTAGCCTGAAAATAATCATTTGTTCTTGGCGGAACAGAACGCGGCCGCTATCTGGTGTCTCCGGTGGTTTAAACAGTATTTTTACCAGTGCTCATTTCTGTGGTGTTAATATCATTGTCAGGTTCTTATTTCAATGTCCTTAGATTTCTCATCTTCGATTTTCGTTCATTGTCATCTCATAACAACTACAAAAAAACTCACCTCAGGGATACCAGAGCCGCAGGCGTACGGAGCAAACACTCGGACCAACATGGCTGCCAGCATGCCAAACAGGAGAGCCCAGAGCACAAAGAACAAGTAGCCGATGATGTAGGAGCCCGCGTCAGATCCCCCGCTGATCATCTGACCCCAGGAATACCACTGAGGAGGAAAGAAAGAAAACAACTAAATGTCTGAAACAAAAACAAAAAAGAAATTAAATGAGGTAGTAATTGAAGAAGCCCGGATGGGCCATTCACTAATTTAAAACAATAAGGTAAAAACAAATGCAGTTTCTGGGACACTTGAACAGACATAAGGGCCTTGAACACTTAGCTCTCACTGGTAAATTTGAAGGTAAACAAGGCAGGGGAGACCCAAAGCAACTTACTTGGGAAGCCTAAATAGATGGGTGATGGGGAAAGATCATGGTCAGGAAAATAATGTAGCTTTTTTGAGAGCATCGGAACAAAGGAGTGCATGGCGCACCACGTTTGCTGATGTGTTACACATATGGCACTTAAATTGATGATGAAGTGTTTTACAGCCACAAAGAAACATTTCAGGTAATTTTGGATGCAGGCTTCTACTGTCTATTATTATTAATAATATTATTACTAACATCCTCATCATCATCATCAACACTATTATCATCATCCCCACCATCATCAAAATCATCAACTTCATCTTCATCATTATCACTTATGGCAATTCGAATGGAGTTATTTGGACGAGTGAAGGTGACGCAAAGCATATTGACAATGGAGCCGAAAACTTTGTGGAGTCCGCCAGGCCTATTAAAGAAACAAAAACATCATCATCTTCATCCTCATCATAATCACCATTGTACCACCACCACCATCATCATTATCATCAACATCACCATATTCATCATCATCATCATCATGATTAACAATATTATAATTATCGTAAGTCCCCCCACCTGCTTGCACTTGATGGCCGAGTCGAGCGAGGTGGCATTGAGGCTGGGCCCGCTCCAGCAGCACTGCTCCTTGTTGAACCAGAAGGCCTCTAGGCACACGCCCTCCTTCAGGTCCGACATCCAGGTCGCACCGATGTCGATGATGCCGGCGCACGTGCCTGGAACAGATACGTAGGGTTAAACTTAATTACTGTGCTTTCCATAATAAAAATAAATAATCATACAGTCACAACAACAACAAAAACAACAACAACAACATCGAAAATAATAATAATGATGATGATGATGATGATGATGATGATGATGATGACGATGATGATTTTTTTGTACATGTTCCAGACGAAGCCCTTTGCAAGGCGAAATGTTGAACTTATATGAAATTTGAAAAATCTACTAAGTCTCAAACCCTTTTTTTATTCCCTGCTACCTACAAAGATGATGATGATGATGATGATGATGATGATGATGATGATGATTATGATGATGATAAGGGTGATAATTGTAGTGACAATAGTAATAATTATAATGAAAATGTGTTGTTGTTTTTATGTTCTTTTTCATTTTAGTAAGAGCTTCACGCAACTTGCAACACAAATAGGTCATATAAAAGCGGAAGAGGTGTTACTAAAGAGTAAAATAAAAAGAAAATGAGGAGAGATAAGGAAGATCGACATTTCATAGGGAAGAAGCACAGACTACACAATAGCCACCGCCAACCACCCGCTACTGCAGTTATTTAGAGCATATCCACGCTCCACGTCATGCTCTATGTGCTTTACAACTACAAGTATTATTACCCACAAAGACCCTACGAAACAAGTCAGAAGCATTCTCGGCTTCCCAGGAACTATAATATAGTGCAGGCTGAGGATTACACAAGGTCAAACACTGACAAACTGACAAAAACCTTCACTGTTTATTCCCGAGTACTCATCCAAACCTGGGTAAAGGTATGGTGAGAAAAATAGGTATCAAGCGCCTTTTGATTTAAAAAAAAAGAAAAAAAAAAAGAAAAAACCCCAAAATAAAACAAAAACAAAACAATTTACCAGTCTCTCCTAAAACCCCATCCATCCCTCCCCACCCATGAATCACTTGTCAATTTAATTTCCCACCCCCAACACTACACTACTCACACACACACACACACACACATGTACACACACACAAACACACATAAATAAACAAACACACACACACACACACACACACACACACCCAAACACATACATAGACAAACATAAACGTTCGAACAAACAAACACACATACACACACTTGCACACAAACACACACACTTGCACACAAACACACACACTTGCACACACACACACTTGCACACACACACACACACACACACGCGCGCGCGCGCGCGCGCGCGCGTGCACGCGCGAACACACATCCTCAACAACAACCGTAATCATCGCACGCAAAAGCAAGATTGGAAGGGGTAAATCAAATCACCCTAAAAACAAAAAACCCCAAACCAAACAAACAAACGAAACAAAAAAACAGCCATGCCCAATTATCCCTCTTTGTCTAACGAGCTCTCATTTCTTTCCTCTTTATTTCCATCTTGTTCTGAAACAGCCAGTTTTACAGCTGAAAAAATCGATGCTGCGGCTCTTTGAGACTTTGAGAAACTTCCCAGTGACGTAATAGGGAAGCTAACTCTTTTGCCCTTGCGTAAACGAGTGATCAGGTTTGCCTCCCCCTTGCCTCATTCCCAAAGTTTAAGATTCTCACAAAAGAGTATCGTACAGCTATAAATGGAATCGAAACCAAGGTGCGTTGACATTTTCGCTGCCTAAGAATTTCAAAGTTCAGTTTAGTTTTAGTAACAGAATTACGGCACTTGCAACACAATAAGGTTATTTTAAGTGCCGAAGATTAGAGGTGCTATAAGAGAGTAACAAACAAACAAACAAAAATACAAACAAACAAAAAAACAAAAAAAGGAGGAGAGATCAGGACGATAGATGTTTGATAGGAAAGAAGGAGCAAACCACAACAAAACACCCGCCAAACACCTACTTAAAAAGCTGTATTTGACATTTTTTTCTGTATTGAGCTAAACCATGAGTTTAGAAACCCAATATTCTGTCCAGGACGTCTATCTTTCTAAAACAACTAGATCTACATTTTGTACTTATTAACTACTTTTTTCCTCGACAATGGGAGCTATCTTTGACAATTTCGGCCGCATGACTGTCGTTGTACATCCTAAGGGTTATGATTGTTTATTAGTATTAAAGTGGGTTTTTTCAGGAAGTGTCATCTCTGGCAGAGATTGACGTGTAATGACCCTCCACCCTTCACGGTCGCGAGCTGCCGTTGCACATTCTGCCATATCCAGGCCAGCCCATGTTCTTACGTATTAACGTTTAGTTTTGGTAAATTGTTTAACGTCACTTGCAACACAAATAGGTCATATACGTGTCGGGGATTAGTGGTGTCACAAGAGAGAAACATACAAGAAAAGGAGGAGAGATAAGGACGATAGACGTTTGATTTGAAAGGAGCAAACTAAGAGCGCTCGCCAACCACCCACATACTTGAGGGAGGTCTCACAGACAAACGGCAAATGGAAGCCTGACCAATAAAAACAACAACACCAACAATAACTACAACAACATCAGCAATAACAACGATAGATGTTTCATAGGAAAGAAGGAGCAAACCACACCAGAGCACCTGCCAACCACCAA